ATGGAGGAGGTCGTGCGAGGAGGAAATGAGAGCTTCTGGGCTGTCGTGGAACCAGGTTCAAAAGATCTCAGAGAACAGAGGTCACTGGAGGCGTGCTACTGAAGCCCTATGTTCCACTAGGAACCCAAGGGACTAATAATAATATAATAATAATGTCAATTAGTACATCCATAGGAAAATTAAACAGGAATGACGATAGCGGGCATCCGTGTTGGACACCTCTAGTTGTCGTCAACTCTGCATAAGTGCTAACATGGCTAAGTGAATTCTAGTAGAGAGTTTTAATTAGCGTTACAAAATTTATCGATACTCCTTTCACAGCGTGATATTATCACAATACCCCGCAATCAACAGAGCCAAATGCTGTCTTTAGGCCAAGAAATATGGTAAGTGTTGGCCACTGGCCGGTAGGTAAACGTGTGTTCCAGCACCTGTCATAGGGCAGAAATATAATCGGTGCACCCTCATCTAGGTCTGAAACCCTCCTGGCTTTCTCGAGCTCCAGTTAGGCATCGGATAACTGTAGATCCTAGAATCTTGAATACGATACTAGTCAAACTGATTTCCGTGTTGTTGTCACAAGAAGAATCCTCTCCTTTTTTATACAATGGGGTGATCAGAGAAGTAGACCAGTCTGATGGCAGTACCTCTGATCCCTGTACACGCTGCCTACTACCTCTGTCACCTTAATTCACAGTTTTCTACCCCCATCTTTGAAAACGTCAGATGAAAAACTGTCAGATTCAGGTTCGACACATCTTTTTCAACTTCAAGGAGAGTTGATTGACCCACCTCTACATCCCATTCTGGTTCAAGCTGGTCGTTGGGCAACTGAAGTATCGGTGTCCGCCAGTTAATCTATGCTTTAGTGTTCTACCAATGTTTTAGGCACCTATCATTAGAGGTTATCAGTGTCCTATCGATTTTGATGTTTTCACTAACCATCGTCTTCTTGCCATGATTAATAAGTTTTATTCGTTGCCCGTTATAACCTCATAATATTAACTATTCCATCTTTTTCGCTTTCATCACCCACCACTGCTCGTGATGATGACGAAGACTTGTTGTCAGTTCACGTTTGCGCTGCTCATTGTGGTCGGAGCCAGTTGCAATGAGTTTATGCGCATCAATCACTTTGGATTGTGTTGCGAAAATTCATTAAACTTCGCTAACCTTCGAGTCATCATCACCAAGGCCAAGATAAGATCAGGCATAACAGCGTTACGGTCTAAGTTGCCACATCTCATATCAGTACATCAAGTAACATGACAATAAAATGGAAGGTGAAGGAGAAAAAACCGGTCAAAGGAAGTAGAAAGCAATAGAAGAGAAGAAGGAAGATATAGAAGATGATGAGATTAAGTATAGCGGTTAAAATGAGGATAATGTGTGTGGACATCTGCGCCACAGATATCGGTCCCGAGCCATATCACCTACAGTCTCCAACCACTGGTTTCCACGTTTTAGACTGGGCGCCCCAAACTTTTTTCCAACCTGAATCTACTTCAGCCAACATTGTGTGACGAGGCAGACGGTGACTACGCATACGCAACACATGTCCCAACCATCTCAGTCGATGAAACTTCACAACCACATTAACTGACTTACCTCTCCTGCCTAAAACTCTACGTCCGACTTCTGCGTCGCTCATGTGGTGACACCATGAAACACAGCTAATGCTACGAAGGCAATGGCGTTCAAACACCTGGATCTTTCTCATGTCTTCTACCTTTAATGATCATGTTTCACAGCCGTAAAGAGTGCAGGTTACCAGTAATTTTTACCTCCGTTTCTACAGCAAACCTGATATGACTCTGTGTTTTCTGAGGAAGATAATTGCTGCCGTGCTATGATAAGTGCTAAGCTATCTCTTTCATGAATACGCACTTCACATTCTCAATCCTCAGTCGAGCACACAGGAGCTTTACTGACTTCTGTTTTTTTTATCACTAAAGTCGCAGGCATACAGGTGTTTATGCGAACACGTAGTCGGAATCGGAGCAGGTAGTCTTGAAAGGGTTACAACCTTTCGTTGATTCTCTTCAAGGATAACCTATAGCAGTACGACCTGTTGTATATGCCCATAGATGTATCTTTGTTTTCCACTATATCGCATTATGCTCGCTTTTCTTAGATAAACATTATCTCTGACCTTGACCTTCACCATGGCATTTTTAAGTGCAATTTACCTGTATATTCTAACGAATAATACTTAGTGTGTTACTTTTCTCCAGTTTTTTAGGGGCATCTGTTTAAAAAAAGAAGTTATAGTTTAAAATCTACCATTATCGTTTAAGAGTTGTAGTCACGCTTGATACTGATTTCAGTCTTCAATAATTGATCACTAGATGAAAACTAGCCTTAGGTGTATTGTCAGTTATATACACAGTTAGTTAACTCAGCTCAAATATGTGGAACTGTGATTCACCCTGTTTCTTGATGATGTGAAGGTGCTCGATAGAAAAATACTTGATTTAATCTACAATTTCAATACCGCTGACCCACATAGTGTTCAAATCAGTGATGTTTTTAATAAACTATTCAAGTTATTATGGAACTAATCTACCGGCATGTCTCTTTCTTAGAACTGGAGAATACCAGTTAAAACTTCTAAGAGAATGTGAATATCTTCAAGACTGAAGATATACTTTACCAATGGTCGCCAACTTGCAAAAGACACATTTAATATTTCATACTTTTGAATCCAGATATTTCGTTTCAAATAGCTATTTTCCTCTCCTTCAATTCCTGATTGCAATATTATTTGTGAAGTGTTCCTGTTGAAACATACATCAATTTTCTAATTATTATATTCCTTAGGTTTATTTACATTTTTCAGTAAAAATATCTCTAGTTAGTTTAAATTTATTGTTAGTAGCGTGGCAATTAGCTGTTTGGAATGTAGGTTGATTGTCATAAATTCCAATTGAATCTAATTGGTTGGACCTTATTTTCTCAAAAGATTTTGTATTTCTTCATTATTCTATTCCTTACTAATTCAGTTTCTATACAAGTGGTCTTTGTTCTATCTGTGTTATGCAGAACTAAACTGTTATTCAAGTTCTCATTCGTTTCACTTTTTTATCATACAGTTCAGATGTCATTTTGCCTATAAATCGATAATCCAGACATTTGATCTTCGATGGTTTGGTCAAGTGTTCTTTATTTCTCTTACAGTTACTGAGGTTTCTGGAACTAAGTAATATTATCATTCGCCTAGTTGACTTGATGGACACATTAAAAATCAGATCGACTTCATCTTAATTTGAAGAAAGTGGAGACTTAGCCTACTGGATACAAGATCGAGAAGAGGAGAAGATGTAGGTTCACACCACTCATTGTCTAATGCAGAGAACCTAACTTCAAGATCAAGCTGAAAGCCTTCAAAGAAGTTGGTGATAGACCATAGTTCAAGTTCAACACCCATCCAGAAACTAAAGGACGAAACTACAAAGGACATCTTTAAGTCAGCCATCAGGACACAATGAGCAACATCCCTGAAGGAACCTACGTGGAAGAACACTGGAGCTCTTTGGAAGAGATGTGTTAAGAAACCTGCATAACCCTCTTAGAGAGGTAGAAGAGGCAAGATGAGACAAAGAATGGATCTTCACGGACACATGGAAGCTGATAGAAGAGAGGAAGATGGTGAAGCAGAAGGATGAACAACGAAAACAGGAACTTAGTACAACGTGAAAAACACTACACTGGACAAAGAAGTGAAGAAGAGTGAGTGCAAACACAAAAGACACTTATACAGCACATTGGCAAGTGAAGCAGAACAGGCTGGAGGTAGGAGAGACCTGACAACACTATATTAAATAACCAGGTTACTATCTGGAAGAGAAGAGATCAACACAGATGAAATCAATAAAGATAGTGAAGGAAACCTAGTTACCAAAGAGGAGAAACAAACGAAACTATGGGCAGACCACTTCAAAAAAACTCTTGAATCGACCACCACCTGCAACTCGTCCAGAAATACCACCAGCAGCCCATCCACAGAATTACCAGTGAACACAAGCCCTCCGACGAAAGTCGATGTCCTGAACCTCATAAAGTTGGTGAAATCCGGGAAAACAGGCAGGCCAGATGAAATTCCTCGAGAATCACTGAAAACAGATGCAGAGACAACAGCGGACACGCTCACACCACTATTGCAGGAGGTTTGCAAGTAAGGAGGGAAAGGTATCTGCCTCTTGATTTGAAGAAGGGTTACCCTGTCAAACTTCCGAAGAAGGGCGGCCTAGGTCTTTGCAAGAACTGGCGAGGAATCACGCTTCAGCCCAACCCAAGCAAAATATTAAACCTCGTCTTCCTGGAGAAACTAAAAGATGCACTAAATTCCAAATTATGAGCGGAACAGGCTGACTGGCTGTCGTTTCCTGGTGTGTATAATTCACCAAGACTGTGTTAGAATAATAATAAGCTGAGTCAAATCACAACCTAGTTCTTATCTAAACGAGTCTCATTTGTTAATAAGATAAACTATTTCTACTTACTGTTAGGAGGTACTTTTAAGATGTGTGTACTCGTGCGCTTTTATTGGTTCTTTGATCATTCAGGTAAGCAGATGATAGTCAACAAGAATGGGTCTTTCATTGCCTCAAGTCATCAACTATTTTTAGTTGTTTACCTTTGATCATTCTGTTACTTATCACGTTAGAAAATTTTACATTTAATATTCAGTAATTCTATTGTCAACATCATATTTGATGGTATCTATTCAAATTTGAGTTTCTGAGGTGGACATCTCATTATCAAACCAGAAAGTATCATCAGCAGTTTTAAATGACAAAGTTTATAAATCCAAACATTCATAAAATTACGAAACCAATGGTGAAACTTTGGTTTTTTAACAATTAATTTCAGCACTCAAATTTTCAAGTCTCAAGTACTATTTAGTTTAGTGAAATGGTTTATAGGATTTAAAAAAACAACCTAATTCTATTAGTCAATTCGATAATTTTCTTCTTTTTTCCCCCTCCTTTTTTTTTTAGAGTACTCGAAGCTCCAACAATCAAAACGTTACTGGAACTACTTTATCATTTATTAATAGTACCAGTATTGGTAATACAAATAATAGTAATTCAGTTGACTTGACATGGATTGACAATGGGAAATATCTATTCAAAGTTGATTTGAAACCGTTATCATCAATTTACACTCATGATCCAGTATTGTCAAGATTTTTCCGTGTTTGTGGAGACTTACTGCCACGCGTACTATTCATGTCACCTTGGAAAAGTGCTATATCTGATAAACAGAAGGTGTGCGTTGTGTTTTACCTTTCTTGTTTCATTTTTATTTATGCTTGTTCTGTTTTGAAGAAGAAATTATTTTATATTAGTAAGAAGATTTGTGTGTAGTGCTGTAAGTGACTGGTTTTTGGTCTGAATTATCTAAAGAAGGGTAAAGCTCGTTGAATGAGGTCTTTGGAATGCTTTGCCACACTAATTGGAGAGTTCAGGCAGTATGATTGTTTGCCTTCATTATAATATTGAAAATCATTCTGTGTATGCTCAAGAAGTATAGGATTCGGTGTCATCGAACTAAAGACCTTCAGGTTTCCCAGGGAACCCGTCAGCCATCCAGCCAGTGAGTCGGAGTTCAATGGTTTACTATTTCCAGCTTCTGTCAATTCGCGATATAGCGCGACTATCACCTAACGTCTTCAAATGATATCCGCTTCCTTAGCCGAGTCATGGTCACGTACTGCTGAAGAGTCCCATACTGGGACGAAACAGCTGTCCAGTGCTCCCAAGTTTTCAGTGGTTCCCCAACTGACATCACTCCGTAGTGAATACTACCTCAAAATTTCTAACTTTCTTTACTCTTATTCTTTTGTCCATAGCAAAATCGTGTCACCTTCCGTGATGATCTAATTGTACAATCAAATAATAACGATGTACCAACAACGAAACGCACTAGTAGTATTAATCTTAGTAATCACAACAATACTGGTACTAGTAGCACTAGTATTCTACAAAATGCCACATCAATCAGTCTACACCTATGTAATGCAATGAAAGCTATGCTGTTAATCAGTCCAACTGGTCTCGTCCAATTCTTACCAATAATATTGAATCAATTTATGGAGATAATTATTCTAAGCTCTGAGACAAGTGCAAGATGGTTTCATCTACATCAACAACAACAACAGTCGTCACCTCAATCATCTGATTCAACCAACAATCACCATCTTAACATTTTAGAATATTCATGGTTTAAAAGTCTAAAGAATAATTTCACTGGTAACAACAGCAGTAGTAGTGGTACTAGTAATAGTACACCGGACGATGTGTTGAAAACAGCTGTTAGGTGAGTTGTATACTTTATTGTTCTACTTTTTTTTTATGTTTTATTCTGTTTGTTTGTTTGTTTTTAGTTACTTGTGAACAGAAATTTGATTTTTCAAGTCATACGATCCCTTTTTTTTGTCTAGTTATGATTTGTATCTAGCTCGATTTGTCTAATAATTTATTGATTTGTATCGCTGTTTTTGATGGTTGGTGCTAAAAGTAAATTGCTGACTATCAAATAACTGAAAAGAGTCAACAAGAAAATTGGAACTTTCTCTATGTTTCAATAGTTCACGTTTGAAAAAAGCTGTACCATTGGTATAATGAGTGAGTAATATCGAGGTCAGGTTCAGAGCACTATAAATAGATGGTAAAGTCAGCTGATGATATGGGTCGAACGTGTGTTGCGTATGCCGAATCACCGCTTACCTCAGTTTATGATGTCAGCCGTATTAGGATTATTTAAGAAAGATGAGAGCTGAGGCTGGCCAAACTAAGATCGTGCCACTGATCCTTGAATTCTAACTGTTGATGAGCGTAGGCTATCTGGTTGAGGAATCATCGGTTGAAGACTTTATGATAAGCCTCAGAATCGATGACAGTAGTACAAATGTACACACTCCGTGTCCTCTTCAAAATGTTGAAAATTTCCAATAATTTTTGTATAATTATTCTGCTTGTTCTTGTGACTGACTGATAAAATCAACGTAGAACCTAGCACACAACTGCATCAGTTCAAGTTGCAACGCTTCATAGTACTATGCAAACAACAAGTGAATAGAAAAAGACTCCTATCAGAGTAGACAAAGTTGTGTGAGACAGTAAACAATTTGAAAATAATGGTTAGTCGAAATATTCAAGCTTTAGAAGATATCAACGAGTTAATACATCTGCACCATTGTGACCGATTTTTTGTTAAGTCACCAAGAGTCCTCAAGCACTGATTCCTTACGTCTTAGGGACCCCAGCCAGGTAGTCACCATCTCCCAACACGGCTCAGGCCAATAGTAAGAGACTTCATCGAGTGGTACCACGTCTTGGTCTAGCTACTCTGAACCGTCTTCCAACCTAATCAGACCTCCCCTCATATGACCCGTCGATATAGGCGATGACTCGGCTTGCGCAACAAATGTCCAAGCCACCTTAGTCAATGAAGGTTGATAACCTCATCAATCGACTTGTCTGTCTTATCTAGTACCTTTCGCCTAACCTCAATATTGATCCCACGATATATCCCCCAAACCCAGGGAATTCTGTGAGGACACTTGTGATCAAAATCGTGTAACGGCTCCATGTCTTCTACTCCAAATGGCCATGTCTCTCAGCCGTACAAGTTGGTATTCATCACGGGCAGACATCAATTGCAGAACCATTAGACATCTGGGAGCATTGGTTAGTTGTTTCTTCGTTCTAATGGGAACTCGTGACGGATTGTGTGGACCATATCGAATGTGGGGACAGATATTCAACGATACTATTGGTTGAAGGTCGCGCTGTATCGTGAATTGACAGAAGTAGGAAGATATGGTCTATGGGACTCCAATCCGGCGGTTCAATTATAACGTACTCACCTCAAAGCCTGGAGGTCTTGAGTTTGACTCCTGGCGGGGTTGCCTATAGTTATGCGTTGCTGAGGAGTCCCATACGACGGCGAAACAGATGTCCAGTGCTCCCAGATTCTCAATGGTTCTGTAAATTATCTCATTCCATGATGAATACCAACTTGAAACCAACAAAATTCCACCAACCTACAATATGAAATAATCATACATTAATGAAACAGAATCTCATATGAACCTTCGAGACAGAACTTAGTGAAGGAGAATCACAGTGGAAAGTTGGAATGCATACACTGCTACATGATTATTGGTGTAGTCTTTTTTAAGCTGTTTGCTGTAAGCGTCATGGTGTAGGAAGTAGATATATTAAACAATGCATGCAGAGGTCATTCAACAACAGATCCTGTGGAGACCAGCACAGTTTCCAATACAAACTAGACATCTTTGACCAATGTAATATTAATGTATCGAGTTCACTGTAAAATGGGCAGTGAATGCATTTGAAAGATATAAAAAAGTATCCAATATTTACTTGGTTATCTCGTACCAGAAACCAGGAGAAATTCAAAGAGGAATATACTAACTAAAAAGTGCTTTACACTGAATAAGTGAAAAGTATTTTTTAAAAGATTAACAGAAGTCTATGTCTGCAATCATTGTTTTCATGTTCAAACTTTGGAAGTAGTCGAAAAGTCTGTTTATCTGGGTATTCATGAATACTGGTTCTGTTTTGATGAATCAGATTTCTCTTTGATTGTTTGCCTGAGCTATGTGGGGGAAATGTAGACTACTAGATTGGGACAATCGAAATCGGCCATTGTAGACTCTAGGTGAAATGGCTTAGAATTGATTTAAATGGTGCAGATGTATGCAGATATTATCTTGATGGCAATCTTCATGCCTAATTTTATTACTATTTTATCCCTTCTTGTTGTCATCTTACGTCTTTCTTCCACTTTGATTAATTTCTTGCTTGTTTCTCTTCAACCGTTTCTCAGTAATGCCAGTTCTCATGGTGATGCTGACTGACTGGGTGACTTTCTTCCGGTATTACATATTAGAACGGAAGTAATGAGCACTTCGAATTTATCACTGATTCTGTTTCTTCTTCTTCTCCTGAATTCTCTCTCTTCGCCTCCATCACTTATTTCTCCTTAATACGGTGGTTTTATTTCACATGATACAGTTATTAGAACATAAGTTTATACGTAGTTTGTTTATTTTCAACCAATAAGTATGACAAGCAGCTAAATTCACTTCTCTACATTATATTAGTCTGATATGCACTAGGTATCATCATGTATACAATGATTCAGCACCTCAGTATTACTTTATCTGATCATCAAGTATATTCATTTCAATGTAATAGTACGATAATAGCTGAAAATTCAGTTGTTTATATACCTTTTAGATGACCTTGACCAAGGAAAACAAAATAATGTATTGAAAATGTAAAGTGAACCAATCAGCGCTTAGTATCTTAAACCACATATTTACATATTATCCATTAGTTTTTAGGGATCAGATGTCCTTAACAGAGTAGGCTTTTGATGTAGTGGTAGCGTATAATCTTATATTCATTACGTTTATTTAAAAGAGCACTATTAAGTGGATGACGGTTTTTAGCATAATTTAGTGCGAATGATCATATCAAGGTAGTCACATCACTTCTTATCACTGGTTGCTGGAAAAGCTTACACCCAAAAAGGGAGGAAATCACTCAAAAAGCAAGCTCTTTAAGTTAGTAAGCAGCGGAGATTAAGGGCTTCTTTTTGAAACAACTAATAAAGTGAGTTTAGCTGTTTTCAATAAATCCGGAAGTTACTATTTATTGACATACTTGTTATTCTCCGTTGTTTCCTGTTGAATCGGATTGTTCAACCTCTATTGACATATGGGCTCCTATGCGGATGCCTGGATATTACCTGAATGCTAATTGGGTTGGTTGTGACTAGCAGTGGGAACAACATCACTGGGGTGCAGGTACATCCAGCTGATGACTCCCAAGTAGGACGAAACATGCTTCCTGGATTCTTCTGCTAACAGCAGCAACCAAATTATCGTAAATCCAGAAGTGTTCAAATCAAAATGTCCCATGAATTATTGAAAGAAAAATATCCCACTGAAAAGACTGAAGTTTCAAGGCAAATATCATTTATCGCTAATAGAACATAGTCGGTAATCATTTTGTCGTTGTAAGAACTTAAACTTTGTTGGCTTACAGACCCTATCGGCTTAATGAAACAAAATAATTTGATCTATCTATCAAATACCGGTTCGTTATTGTGGGATCTATCAGACAGGTAAAACAAGCCGATCAGTCATTCAGATAAGCAGAGCATAGGAAGTTAACTATATTTTGAATGATAGACTTCAAAAAGATAAGTAATTTCAAGAAAGAAACACGGTTATTGTTATGCATGCAGTGATATGTAATAGGATGGGACAGGGTAACAATCGAAGAATCTAAGTTAGGTGGGACAGGAATCTTCGTCATAAATGTCATTTTAGGACTTAAAATATCATTAAGCAATAACCTTGTTGCTTTCTATAGTTTTGTTTCGATGTTTTAACCCTTGTTTTTTCCTCTTTTTCATATCAGCACTTTAGCTATGTTAATTTCTGAATTGAATGCTCAAATTCCAAATGACAGTTTATACTATCCACTACATTCAACTCATGATATGTCCTGTTCAGATAGTGTAATCAACTCGAACACAACGGCTGGTGGTGATCGTTTACAGCATAATTTACTGAAAACTTATGTGGAGGTGAGCAGTATTATTTTGAACTGCTAAATACTATGGCTGGTTAATGTTTTTTGCGATTTGACTGATACTACTTATAAGTAGCCTAAAATAATGTATTCAAAATTAAGCTGTCATTACACTCTCCTATGTATATTTCTGAAGCTGTACAGCGTAGTTGAAGTGCGATTAACACGTTAAACTAGATCAATCCCACCTCAAAAAAGGATAGTACACACTTATAAGCAAATTTGTGAATATATCACTCCTAAGCCTGCATTCTTTATCTAATGTAGGCTGAAAAATTTCTTCAATAACTGTTTTTCATCATCCCACTGGTATGATGACTCTGATGAGATGCCTACTTGGTTGGCAAGCCTAGGTGTACTAGTCTCTAGTTCAGTGTTTGACTGAGTCTCTTCATGCAAACTGGAACGATAGTCAGGTTTTCAGAATAAACTCTGATTCCACTGACCGTATTCCATTACACTAGTGAAAATGAATTTTACCCAAGAACTGAATTAATTCAGCTTACTTTCAAGATAGTATTCATCCTGCTTGTTTTCGTATATACCACTCAACATCAACATGGGATGTTGCAATACTCCTCAGTGATTCAAGTTACTAGACATTATACCATCACATCGAGACTATTGGACATGAAGCGGGAAAATGGAAAACTAGCAAAAAATAGTTATGAGATATCTTAGAAAATCATGGAACAGAAAGATTGTTGCTAACGCGAACACCATTATGTGAGGCGAAGATAAATCGTGCGCACATCTGTTGTTCTGAAGATAATAAACTAAAAACCTACAAATTCTTATACATTTCACTCTAATAGAAGGAGACTTTATGAACTGAGATACCCATCTATGCATAGTACGTATCATAACCATCTTTCACTTAATCTTTACGTTCCTCATATGATGGCTCTACAACATATGACCTCTGCTGCATGAGCAATATTGACTGCGAACTACTGTGCGGTGCACTTAATCCTCAGTAGGCTTCCGGGTATTGCGCCCATGTCATAAGGATCATAAGTTAGCAAAAACCATTCAATCTTCCTATATATTACCGTAGGTATTTCATCTGTCAGTGATCCGCCTACGCTGATCTGAGGATTAATTAGTTATCAACACAACTGCTTCACTACTGACGAGTTCATTCAATGGTTCGTTTTCAACTATAACCAACCAAACTGGGTAGTTATCTGACTCTTATTGATTGTTATTATAAATAGTAATTTATGTATATCTACGAAATAAAGCATAGTAGATGAAATGGAAGAAAGAGACTGTCACAAACCGAAAAACTTCTAACTGTTAACTTGTACGTTTTCTTTTGTTCTTATCAATTGTGTGAATTCATATTTTCATGTTCTATACTATTATACGCCTTTCTCTTTTCATGCTTTGTTTAAGTTAACATAAAAGGAAGCTAAGCTACTTCAAAGCGAATGAGTCATGCTCTCTAGTCATCTTTTATACTTTCAGCATGCTTATTGTGTGTGTAGACTACAATGTTGGAAATTAAAAATTGTATGTCAATAACTTCCTACCTTTGAAAAGCTAAGGTTCGTTTGTACAAAGTGACTCTACTTACAACTGAAGCAACCAATTAAACTTCATTATTCTACGACAACCTGTCTTTCCTATCTAAATACAGACATCTGATTGGTGATTTCAAATGCTGACCTTTAAGGTCACTTGATTGTATACATAGATTGTGCACTAAATCTGAAAGTATTTTTGTATAAGGAATAATAAATTTTTGAATAGGACAATATTTAACATTTTCGATTAAATATACTGGACTGATCACTTTAATATGTAGCTTCGTTTAGATAACTGGTTGAAGTATACCAGTCATTAAGTGATAAACACCAGTCATGCTTATCTATAACAGTCAAGTGTGCCTTCGTTTACTTAGGGTTACGAGCTCACCTTATCCTGCGCGTAGATTCATAATCCTACGTAGCTACTGAAACCACTGTAGATTGAGTAATGTAATTACTTGTTTCGAAATCCTGTGGTTAATAAGCACAGGTGTAAACCAATTAAACAAACGCTGTATACTATTGACTATGTAACATGCTTTTTATGCAGAGTTACAGATCGACGTAACTATGTAGAATGTCGCAGAAAAAAGCATCGGTTGCACTCTTAGCTACAGTGATTAAACTAAGCTATCAGTTTTATGAATTGACTTCACATCTCGGTCTATGGCCATTGGTCCCAACGGTAATTTATTTTACATAGAACATCATCAGAACATCTTCGAATTTCTATGTGTAACCCAAACATTACTGACTTTATGGTTCCATTGCAGGCGACAAATGCCTATGTCGTCTTTCTACTCATTTGATCTCTATAGTCTAGTGTCCATGGTATAAAGTAGTGTGCAGTAGACCGTGGTGCTAGTTTACTTGTCTCTTTGTAGGCATTCGTTTGTCTTCTGAGGAGACTTTGAAAAATAAACTCTAACTAACGGTTAAACTTGAACTTATCAAATATCATTCCGAAGAAAAAAACAATGTCACAAAAACTGGAATACCACAGGACAAGGAGGAGTATATTATCTTTGAGGCTGACCATTCCTAACCCTTCTATCAACATCACTGATGTGAAACACATTACCTCTGTCACACCTTATCCAGCTAGCAGTACAGCTTTGTCGGACACCCATGGTAGCCAAGTTACTTACATTACCAACAGTCTTCTTCTTGCATAGTAGAACCTCAAGAAAAAGAGTCCCAGCTAGTGTAGCTACTTGGGCCATTACTATATGTAAACTCAAGTACAACATCAAAGTACTAGCCACATGATTGTAAAACATAACTATTAAAGTTAGACGATATAAATAGGCTTCAGCTCTTCAACCGCTGTCGCCTTCGTATCGTATACCGTTTCGTGAAACCATCACGTCATTAACACAGAAGTCAGGCGTAACGTTTTCGGTAGAAGAGGAAAGTCAGTCAATGAGATTGTATATCGTCATCGACTCCGATGGCTCGGACATGTTTCGCGTGCGTAGTCACCGTCTGCCTCATCACACATCGACCGACCACTGAAAGATATGCAATGACGACTTGCGTAAAGCGTTCTATTAACTAGTGGAGAATATTATAGTTCAGGTGGATGGTCTTGGTTGTATTGTGTTCTCTGTGCTGGGTTGTTTAACCGTGAAGTTTTCATCGCCTTGCTAGACGACATCAGCACTAACTTCAGTATGAAGGGAGCTGTCAATATCTCTCCGTGAGTGATTTAGTAGCTTGCCTTGACTAAATGGTCTATGATTGGTTGTTTCCTTTGATTATTGTCATTGACTGTACAGATTTTCCTGTTGGTTGTTCCCCTGCTTGATCTCTGACCTTTCTATCGCTTACCATTTTTCTTATTGGTTGATAGATCGGGTCTATGTCTATACATCTGTTGATTGCTGACTGACTGAACTGAATGCCAATCTTCTAGAAATTCTCTGATATTCTTTGTGTTTCCTCTCTCCATCCAAAATTTCTACATTGCCGAAATTGAATTCATGTCCATAATTGTCCACGTGCATTGAAATGAGTGATGAGATGTCGTGTGTAAGGTTTAATAGCCAATTGGTGTTCATGTAGACGAAGGCAAAGACGACGACCACTTTGTCCAATTTAGTGTTGACTACAGTTATTGTAGTTGATTTTGTAAATGATATCATTTAAAGCTTCTTCTCCACCGTCATGAATTCTCGTTTAGGACCACTGTAATTGGTGTAGGCTCGGGTGAACTTATCCTGATATCCGTTTCTACTTAAAATATCATGGATACACAGTAGTTCTTTTACACACAGTCCTTTGAACAAATCGGTCTTACTCTTAATGCCAGGCACCTGATTATAGTACATTTACACCTCATCGATATGAAGTTGAGACGTACCTACAGAGACTAGTTGTATGTATAAATTAAAAAAAGGGAAACTGAATCACCACCTTATCATCAAGGTGTGCAGCTATAGCTTTCTGTTACGTCACAATTTGCTATTGCTACTAGATACAGCCCACATTGGTATTCAGCAGTAATTCTAAAGTTGTGTCTTACCTTAGCATAAATATTTCTTCTTTTTCTCAGAAACCCCTTATTTAGTATACATACTGCGTGCTTGTAAAAGTAAATAGTAGATGGAATTCATCAACTGACTTATTTGTGGAAAAAATTTATCGGAATTAGGAGTCTACACATCCACGTCATCCTATTCTTCGAAGAACTTAGAAACCAACAGGAGCTTTAAATGTTATGTCATTTTCTAGGCATCTTGTTGTCCACTATGAAGTTCAGTCATGCGTGAAATAAAAAAATGAAGGTTGTACGTAATCATTATTCCGCTTCATCCCTTCAGTCAATAAATTATCATATTGTTTATCATTTTGAATATCTGAGATAGCCGTAGTTTGGCAGACTAGTATGTATACTGGATGATTGAAGGTGAAATGAAAATTTGGACCGCGGCCGGATTCGAACTAGTGACCATTGGGTTTTCAGCCCGATGCTCAACCAACAGAGTTACGAGGTCCACGTAGCTTGAATTCGGTTGCCGTGTGGATATATATATCTGGATATATACAACTAAATTTCGTAATGTACGAGAATAAAACAATCGATTTTTATGCACTGAAAAGTAAATAAAATACACAGTAATTGATATCAGTCAACAGGCGATTATTTCTAAACGATTTATCATACAGAAGTGAGTGAGGAATTGATCGAAAGCTGTTTATACGAATCATACAATTATGTTACTAAATAAGTCACGAGTAAAATAGCTTTTAAAACAAATAATATGATCGATAAAATTCATCGGCGATCCACATTTTCCACTTTTCCGCTGATATAATATTTATCATGTGAACGCAGTTATTACTTTATTATCGTTTATTTTATTCTCGTAGTAACCACTTGATATAGTCTGAATTATATATATATATATATATATATATATATATATATATATATATATATATATGGAGTGAGTGTGTTGACCACTTCACTTACCTGGGAAGTAGGATCAGCCCTGGTGGGGTTAGTTGCCGATGAGATTTCTGCACGGATACAAAAAGCTCGATTGACTTTTGCCAATTTGTACCACCTATGGCGCCGCCGTGATATCCGTTTGTCTATTAAGGGTCGCGTGTACTGCACAGCAGTCCGCTCTGTTCTACTTTATGGCTGTGTAACATGGCCATTGAAAGTGGAAGATGTGAGAAGACTTCAGGTGTTTGATCACCGTTGCCTTCATAGTATAGGACGTATTCCGTGGTGCCACCATGTGAGTAATACAGAAGTCAGGTGTAGAGTTTTAGGGAGAAGAGGTAAATTAGTTGACGAGGTTATGAACCTTCATCGACTGAGATGGTCGGGACACATACTACGTATGCCTAGTCACCGATTGCCTTGTCACACAATGTTGGCTGAGGTGGGTCCAGGTTGGAAAAAGGCCCGAGGTGGCCAGACTAAAACATGGCACCAATGTATGAAGTCTTTGATTGTTGGTTTGAGCCGTGTATGTGAGGTGATGCACACTAAATGGTTGGGGTCGGCGAGACAAGAGGAACCAGTGGTTGGAGACTCTACGGGGGTGGGATATGGCTGAGAACCGATATGAGTGGCGCAGATGTATACACACATTATCCTCATGTTAACGACGCTATACCGAATGTCAGCATTTTGTCACTCATCTTTCCTTTCTTCTCGTACTTTATATTTCTTTTGACTGTATTCACTTATCTTCATCCTTCACCTCACTACTTTTCTACTTGATGTAGTGATATGCGGTGTGGCAAGTTGGACCGTTACGCAGTAATGCCTGGTCCTATGTTGATAATGATGATATATATATATATATATATATATATATATATATATATATATATATATATATATATATACGACGACTATTACCAGGCCTGTTATAGTTTTGAATCTTATTGATTTTATGTCTCTTCAAGCAATCTGAAAATCATATGTTGGTTCATATACTTTCTGGGTAAAGTGATTGGTTGTAACAGGCTTTTAGAGATTTATTGCTTTTCATGCACATCATAGCAATCTTGCTCCGCATTATATTACTGTGTAACTGCTCCTGTTGCCACACCTTATAATCAGTATATCAAGCAAGCATGCACTAGGGTAAAAGATTGCCAAAAGTAGTCAAAACTAGTAGAAATTCTTGATAAAAGATCAACAAGGAGTGCAGAACTGCTGAAATTCAGTATGACCGATTAATAAGGAAGGTATTGTTAAGATAAATCCGTGCTACACAATAACTTTACAATCGAAAGGAGTATTAAGATGTTGTTGTCACCTCTTTGTTTCAAAATTGTATAAATTAATTGCGCATTATCATCGATTAACATAATATTGTGTATATTTCTACGGATTTTTGTCACTTTTTAATCTGTTTATTTGTAATAATCTCTTACTTTATCTGTTTACAGTTTGCATTTAATCCAGAACAATTATTGACAATTTGCATCAATCATTATTTGAATGAAAAAGATCAAATTATTTTGGATACAAAGAATGAAGTGATTGATAAGAAAATGAATTTATCGACAGCGACGATAACAGCACCAGGAGCTCCAATGGTGGTGACTGCAACAACAACATCACTGCCACGAAAATCAATAATTAATCAATACTTTCCTTTATCTTCTCTTCATCATTCAATAATTCGTGGTTTAATTCTAGTATTGTGGGATACACATTGTCCTGGTCATATATTAGCTCACTTATTCAATAATATTTGGTTTTCACTGGCATTGATTATTAAATCAATGACACAGTATTTATGCACCAGTAAAAAAATATGGGTAAGTGTGTTTTAGCCTGCTATCGTAGAACTTTTATGCAAGACTCTCTCTCTCTCTCTCGACTAGGTTTTTAATGCGAGTAGTATTTAAACCAACTAAATGAAGACGCCACATGTCAAGTGATCCAGAATGTAAAGCTCAGCGATGCCTTTGAAGTGAAGACAAGAAGGAGTAAGACAACGTTGCTTAATATCACTGATCATCTTCCTGATTGTGATTGACTGGATCATGCAGCAAATTGTGAGGAGCTGTGAGAAGATGGGCGTACGCTGGACCGATGAAAAGACTCTAGAAGAAGATTTGGATTTCGCCAACGATTTATGTTTAATGCCGCACAAACTTGAAGATCTACAGACGAAAACTAACAGGTTGACAGAAGAGGCAGCGAAAACGGGAGGTGATGAAGATACCCAACGAACAACAGCATCAACAACAAGCACCAATCACCATCAACGGGAGAAACTTAAAGGAAGTAGCCTCCCTCACCTATCTAGGTAGCATCATTTCAACTACAAGCGGCACAGACGAGGATATCAAAACCAGGATGGGAAAGACAGCAAGATAGGCCTTCATCAACCTGAAGTCAGTGTGGAGATTTACTGCACTCAGTACAAAGCGTGAACAACATCTGGATTTTCAATACTAATTCAGTCAAGTCAGTGCTTCTATATGGATCAGAAACTTGGCACATCACGAAGAGCGCTTCCAACAAACTACGAACATTCATCAACAGCTGCCTACGCTCGTTACTGAAGATCAGATGACCAGAAAGAATAAGCAACAAGGAACTCTGAGAACAAATCAACCAACAATCTATCGCCCAACAAATATGCAGCAGAAGAAAGTGGAGATGGGTCGGGCATACACTGAGAAGGCCGACTAGGGACATCACTCGCCAGGCCATGCCAGGCCCTCTAGTGGGCCTTAAAGGGGAAACGACGAGTTGGGCGCCGGAGACGAGGGTGACATGGAGGAGATCATGTAAGGAAGAAATGAAAGGTTGTGGGTAGTCGTGGCGCCAGGTTCAAAAGACTGCAGAGAACGAAGTGCAATGGAGGCGTGCTACTGAAGCCTAGGAATCCAAGGGAATATATATAGTATTTGAACCTAAAAGCCTCAGTTAAAAACATATTTTGCAGACTGAAAAACCCTGTTGAACCAATTTAACAAAAATAATTTGATCAACCGAATATCTTGCAGTTATCACAAGATAAAATATGCAAATTGAAGTAGTCAATCAAATGTAATTTGGCTGATTGAACCCGCAGACTAAATAAATGAAATCAATACTAATGGTCTCTAATTCGATAGAGAATCGAAATAAAAACCTGCGTTGTAGCTGTGCGCAGAATTAAAAAATGAAATTTGATGGAGTGACAGTTCTAAGAAGTTAACTATTTGGTTGAAGGGAGGGAGATATTGATATCTGAATCTTTGCTCATCAAACCAGGCACTAATCACATGCATTTGGTTATGACTCAGCACGTATTTGAGATACTAACTCAAATGCAAAAGAAGTCAGAGAACTGGAACCATGTATCGGAGCTATGCAATTGCCTGGTCATTATCATCAATATCAACATAGGATCACGCTTTACCGTATAACAATCCTAGTCTCCATACTTTTCATCGGCACATCAGGTAACAAAAAAATAAGATGAAACGTGAAAGGAATGAGGAAGAACCGGTCAAATGCAGTAGAAAGCAGTAAAATAGAGGGAGTAGGAATGAGTAAACGCTAAATTCAGGATGGCGATTGAGATAATAATAATAATAAGATATATCTCCGCCTCTGGTGTCGATTCTGAGCCATATCACTTACAATCTTCAACCACCGGTCTTCGTCACGCGAACCCCGACTGAAAAGCTATCATTTCCCTACACGGCTGAAACCAATAGTCAAAGGCTTCATCAACTGCCTTTTTACATTTTGAACCCACTTCAAATAAAGTTGCGTGCTAGTCGATGAAGCGTCACAACCGCATGAACTAACTTTACTCTCCTCGCGGTGACATCACGACACACTGCGTATGCTACTGGCGATTAATCCTATTTCTTTTCCACTGAAGCTTGTGGAAAAGCAACCATTGCTTCACTTGTCAGAGTATTATCCAATCAAATTATTACTCATCACGAGTAGCATTTACTGACATTGGCACTGGAAACTTGGGAACAATCAACTGAATTGTGGTCTTTAATTGTACCTAAGGTGTAGCTGCTTACAGAGTTATTCACATTGCTTACTGGTCTAGTGGATAAGGTTCCGGTACTTGAAGCAGTGAGCGCTGATTTCGATTTTCACAGGAGACAGAAACACAGACAATTGCATCCAGCTAAGGAACATCGGATAGGATGAAAAGAGCACATCACTCTTATCCGCTATTCACCAATATTTTATAATTGTTGGCATCTAAGATTATTACTTTTGTATATGCTGATGTCGGATTTTTTTAGTATAGAAGTCACTTTGTCACCGCACTGACCAGCGCTTGGCAGTAAATGGTATTACATTAATTATGTATACAGTTAGTAATTCGATGATATATCTTTTCACCTCTGTAAATCCTTTATCTTTTACCAAAGATTTAAATGGAAGAGTACAATACTATCAGCATTAGTTTGCTTTTTCCTGTCTTCAACCGTTTTATGTCAGCTGTGATTCATACAAAGAACATAAACAGTATAAAACTTCATGTGTCATGTTTTATCTGTAAGTATAGGTTTTTTATGCGATAATGTGTGTGTACGTGAGCACGCGCATTGCCTCGATTTATTTTCTTCTTTGATGTTTCTGGTTTTTCTAGGCTGAACGATCTGGCGAATCACGTTTCTCATCATTATTTTGTGAAGACTTGACAGTATTCATCCAACTGATTGGATCACGTTTATTATCCTCTTTTGGTAAACAAACAACAACTGCAACATGCATCCTCCGAAATAAAAATAATGAATGTTTAACAGCACCACTGTCGACAAGCAGTGCCAATACTACTCCATTATGTCAAGTGTCATCATCCAACGCTCAGTTATCAATGACTAGCTCTTCTAACTCACTAAGTATTTCACAGACAAGTAAGTCTATCAGCATGAATGAAACGTTGACACCGAGAAATTCACTTGGTGAATCGATCAACCGACAGACTCATCTTACAAAACATACCAGTAATGATGTATTTGACTTTAATCGGATTGATGTTATCTGTGCAATGGGACAGTTTTTAGGCCATTTATTCAATTTGATGGATAGAGGATATGTATTGAAACGTGTTCGTGATCTGCTAATATTTCTTGAAATCTCTCCAAGAATGGTAAGTTTATTCGATGTGATGCTATTTTCAGTGCTGTTTTCCACACTATTTCCCTAGTGACTGAATGATGTACTGTCACCACTGTTGGAAGTCCAGTCAACTTTAGTTAGATATATGTAGTTGTGGGGAAAGCAAGCAAGTTATTCATTAAGACTGTGAATTTTGGTTAAATAAAGTAACGAGGAACATCTATTAGGTATGCTATGCCTGTAGAAAACAGGAATCGATTACAGGGTTTCGATCACTAGTATCTCACGTTCGATGGAATCACCGTGTGAGCATTGTTGAGGTCAGGCAAAGGGTGCTAGGCTTAACAGGCAATTCGATTGATAAAGCTATAAACCTTAGTTGTCTGAAATGGCTTGAAGATGTACTGCAAATCCCGATCATTTACCTACCTCGACCTTCCATGCTAGAGGAAGTTGAATTAGTCTTGAAGAGGGTTCAGGGTGGTCAGACTAAAACCCAACACTATTCTATGAAGTCTTTGACAGCTAGTCTTAGTTATGTAGAACACAATCAGCTTCCTGGTTGCGGCGAGGGAATTAACTAAGATTGATATTCGAGTACTTTAAAAAACATAGTCCAAAATCTTTTGCCACTCTAACGACTCAACTACACCTCATCTACCTGTAAAAGCTTAGACATTACTTACTTATTTCTGTTAACCCTATCCTGTTTTCCTTGCCTTGTTTCCCTTTATTCTCTAGTCCAGTTGATTTCGTTCTTTCACGTTGTTGCTTTACCGCCTCTGTGTTTAATATCAGATGTGATTACTGGAGTCGGTACACGAGTCATCTGGGTTAGGCTGTATTTGTTATCTAAGTTGGATATGTTTCTCAAACTCTCAAAATGTTTGTCGAGTACCATCACAAGTTAGTTCATTGTTCATGCAACACTCTGTTATTTAGACTCCGTTTCTACCCTTTTGGCTCAGGGTTGAAGGTGGCATACAAATAGAATTAGTGGAATCCACTGAAGCTTACTCCGTAAAATGATATTCTGATTTACAGTAAACCCGAATTCATATTGCCAGAGGGGAACATTTATATGGGTAAAGAAGCTTTTGGACAGATGGTTAACGAATATCCTCGACGTGAAGTATCCGGGCTCAACAGTTTTAAAGCACCGTTGTGTGCTAAATTCAGTAGCTGGATGGATATATGCTTGCCTAAGGTTCTACTAGTGATTGAGAACGATATTTGCCCTCACATATAGAAAAGTTCTACCAAAAGTCGAGCTGCGATTACGTATCTGCCATAAAATGTGTGATCGAAGGGAGATACTTTGCATTTCAGTTTTTATACTTATATGCCATACTTACGGGTGTGTTGGTGTTATAGAATTGATAGTTGAACTGCACGATTTTTTTCTTGACACAGATTTGACTAGATCACATTATCTGTGATTAGAGTTTTTTTTCACATCTCATAAACTCAGAAAGGTTCGGTTAGTTTTTGCCAACTTTTACGCCATTTGTGGCGCCGCTGCGATATCCAATTGTTTATTAAGGGTCGAGCGTAATATTCTGCAGTCCGCTTTGTTCTACTGTGTGTCTGTGAAACATGGCCGTTAAAGGTAGGAGATATGGAAAACCTTCAGGTGTTTGACCACCGCTGCCTTCGTAACAGACCGTGTTTTGTGGTATCATCACGTGAGTAACCTAGAATTCAGGTGTAGAGTTTCAGGCAGGAGAGGTAAGTCAGTTAATGTGGTTGTGAAGTTTCATCGACTGAGATGGCTTGGACATGTGCTGCGTATGCCTATTCATCGTCTGCCTCGTCACACAATGTTGACCGATTAAAATATGGAATCAATGCATGAAGTCTTTCACTGTTCGTTTGAACCATATGGGGCGATGCAGACTAATCGGTAGTGGTCCATGGGACAAGAGGAACCAGTGATTGTAGACTGTAGGTGATATTGCCCTTAACGGATGTCAATGGCACAGATACATACACATTATCCTTATTTTTACCGCTATACTTTATTTCATTTTCTCATTCTTCACTTTCAATACTCTCTACTTCTTTTGACCGATTTTCTTTCTTTATCTTCCATTTTACTGCCTTGTTACTTGATGTACAAACATGAGATGTGGCAACTTAGCCCCGTTACGCTGTAATACCTGGCCTTTTGTTGATCTCAATGATGATGAAACTCAGAGAGACATTGGACTATTCGGCTGAAGTTTATCATATTTTGAATCCGTTCACAATTAGGATTACGTTTCGACTTGAATAGTCATTGCTGTGTTACCAGAATCTTTTTTCCCCACACTGTCCCTAAAACATACTCTGAAGAGTATTATCAGTAGTAGTGTATGCGTAATTAATATGTTTACACGTACACAAATTGACTAGCTAATTATTATCATCCTTGTTATTATATGCTTAAATCTTATGTTTCAGTCTGTTGACAAAATTGATCAACTGAATGAATTACGTTTTGAATTAATGCGTTGCATCTGTGAGCATGAACACTTTATTCAGCTGAATTTACCGTTGTTCAATGTATCGGATGGATTAAGTAAGTTAACTTCACTTTTATTACTGAATACAAGTAGTAGCAGTAGTACCTTTGTGTTAATGGGAAACATTTCGTCTACTGAGTATGATAATCAGAGGCTTATTGTTTCACTTGATATATGAGGTGGTTTGTTGTAGGATTCGAATCAACCATCCTCAGATTTTTAATTTGACAAGATGAGCACGATGTAATTAATTTCGCATCTGTGTAATCTAGCGCTTCATCTGACTGTCGAATGTACCTATTCTTATCGAAAGTTTGGATCAGCCGACGACAAACCAAGTAGTCTATGATAGCATTTTTTGACCGATACCTATTTAGTGGTAAATGCCTAGATGTGATGGAAAATCCATTATTGTACAATCGTTAGGTTAACCAATTGTTTTATTGTCAAATAATTTGCCAACTAACAAGTAGTGTGAATTTCAACCACATTTTCTGCTCGCACCACTGTATGTAGGCGTTTCTTAGTACCTATCACGGAGCAAATGTTTTACATATCTATCCTATACAAATCATGTGCGGACCAAACTGCAACGCTACGCATCATCATAGAACTGAGCACAGAATGACAGTCAACTCTCTACCTCAACTTTATCTACTTTGACAAGCCCTTCAACAGCGTCGACCTAGAAGTAATCTGGCAGTTGCTTGAACACTACAGTTTTAGTACCACAAACCTTTATCATTCCCATTCAACGGCTATATGAAGACGCTACATGCAAAGTAATTAACAATGGGAAGCTTAGCGATGCTTTTGAAGTGAAGACAGGAGTAAGACTAGGCTGTCTACTATCACTCCTGATATTCCTGATTGTGGTGGACTGGATCATGCAACAAACAGTGAGGAACGAGAAGAGGGGGATTACATTCTAGAAAATTCGGATTTCGCCGATGACTTGTGTCTAATGTCACACAAACTTGAAGATCTACGGGCAAAAACTAACAAGTTGACAGAAGAGGCGAGGCAGCGAGGTAAGACGGGACTTGAAGTGAACGTAGAGAAGACAGAGATGATGAAGACACCCAACCAACGCCACCACCAACAACAACAACAAGCTCCAATCACCATCAGCGGCAGAAACTCAAAGGAAGTAGCCTCCTCCACCTACCCAGTCTAGGCAGCACTGTTTCAACTACAGTTGACGGCACAGGCACAGACGAGGACATCAAAGCCAGCCAGGATCGGAAAGACAGCAAGACAGGCGTTCATTAACCTGAAACCAGTATGCAGATCTTCTGCACTCAGCATAAAGTGTGAACAACTTCCGGATTTTCAACACCAATCCAGTCAAGTCAGTGCTTCCATGTAATGGTTGAGAGACTTGGAGCGTTACGAAAGTGATTTCCAACAAACTACACACATTCACATTCATCAACACCTGCCGCCTACACTCACTCGATACTAAAGATCAGATGGATTGCCAGAATAATAAGAATAAGCAACAAGGAATTCTGGCTGGCTGGCTGGCCGTCTGGTTGGCTGGCAACGGACCAACCAAGAACCTATCACTCAACAAATATGCACTGGAAGGAAGTGGAGATGGATTGGACTGGGCATACACTGAGAAAACCGACTGGGGACATCACGCGCCAGGTCAGGCCCTCAAATGGAACTCAGATGGGAAATGGCGAGTTGCGCATCCGAGGTGTTGTAACATGGAGGAAATTGTGTGAGGAAGAAATGAGAGCTTGTGGGCAGTCGTGGAGCCAGGTTCAAAAGACTGCAGAGAAGAGAGTGCACTGGAGACGTGCTACTGGAGCTCTATGTTCCACTAAGAACCCAAGTGACAAATAATCATAATAATAGTGAATTCAAGTAACAGAATACACACATCTGATCATAAGAAAAGACTAAATGTGGTTGCAGCGAAGAAAAAACTTGCTTGCCATGAAGTCATTTACTAAGCTGTACATTCGTTAATACATAATACTGCGGTCAGTACGTTCCACAATTATTTCTTGTTAGGGGGTTAAATATATTGAATAACTAAAGGAAGTTAATTAATACACATTTGCGTTTAGAGTGGGAAAATAGACTAGGGATTATGAAAGTAAATGAAATTATGCAATGCAAGATGAATGTATGACAGGGTAGGGAAATTAACAAGGGACTATGGAATTATGTGTATAATTACCTAATACACGATAAAACTATGACAGTCAAGACTCTGTGATGACCATAGCAAAGATAAAGTTTGGATGTACCTTTTTTGGACTCATAATGCTGCTGTAAACTTCTGGATGTCTAATGCTTCAGCTATAGACGAATGCTTTTATCTTACTTCCTTAGAGTAGTTTTTTTTTTTATCTAATCCTGTAGAGGATTAGAACATCAAAGAAGGAACAAGTAGTTGAACGGAATCGAAATATAAAAAGGGGAAATTGAACGATTTATTTCACTTATATACTGCGTTATAGTAATTCTTATAAATCCACTGCTATAAATTTGCAAGGTATTAGCTCATCTGCATACCTAAGACTGTTCATATACGTAATTTTCTTTTCATCATTGAAGCTGAAACTTTTCGCTTAGAAAATTTTGACACTTATTTTCTGTCATTGGATTGTTGAATTAACTTATCAGTGACTTATCAAACAGTTGTCGATAAATATGCAGATAAATTTATGTCTTTATTTCATGTGTTAGATGCAAATTGAGGTATATCCAGTCTGGAAAGCAAGTGTAATAATTACAGCTATTACTTAGTTTAACTCATCCTGGCATAGACTATCTATCAATAGACCAGTATACTGTTCTACAGTCCGTTCTGTCCTGTTATTTGACTTTGAGAAGTGACTGTTTTAAGTTGAAGACATGAAGTGGTTACAGGGTGTTGTCTTCACAGTATTACTCAGATCTAGTGGAATCATCGTGTGAGCATTGTTGATGTCAGGCAAAATGTACTAGTCAAGACAGGCAAGTCGATTGATAAAGCTATTAGCCTTCATAGACTGAGATAGCCTGGTTATGTACTGCGCATGCTGATCCACCGCTTACCTCGACGTTCCATGCTATGGGAAGATGAATTAGTTTGGAAGATGGTTCAGAATGGTCAGACCAAGACGTAGTACAAGTCGATGAACTCTCTTACAGTTGATTTCAGTCGTCTTGGGAGATGTAGACTGTCTAATTGGGGTCTTTATGATGAAAGGGATCAGTGGTAATGACTGTTGGTGATGGAGCTGGAAATTGGCCACAATGGCTCAGATTTGTTTTAAAACTTGAATACTTGCACTAACTTTCATCTTCAGATTATTTATTGTCTCATACAACTTTATCTACCTTGATATGAGTCTTTTTCTATCCATCTGTTCTTTGTATTCTACAGTGAAGTTTGGAAACTTTAGCCGATCCACTTGTGTATGTGGTTCTACGTTGATTTTGTCTGTCTGTCTGTCTGTCTGTGCAGATGGATATACTAGGCTATGAGCATGAGGGCGTATGAATTGGGGTTTTAAGCCCTGAATGCATTGATTAAGAGTCTATTAATTAGTCCAGTTAGCTACAGCTTCACCTATATACGAACACATCCACATCTAGCTGTCGAGTCCGACATGAGATGAAACGCTCATCCTTATTTCCTTTGCTAACCAACACGAAAAAAGTGAAAGTTGAGCATTGTACAAAAAGGAATTTCAAATTAATACTGAACAACTGAACACAATTTTATCAGATAAAACTTAGGACTAACCAAGCTGAAAGATAATAGCTGGGTGCTGTTTTGATTCCTTTAGATCTGACCTCCTCAGTGATATATCTTTATAGAATCATGTTAGTGAAAGAAAACATTGAACTAGTTTTATTTTGGCCGTGACGGATGACACCAAGAAGTTCACCTTTGATTCTCTACGTCACGTGCTACTTATCTACATGGGAACTACATTTAGTACTAGAAATTCAATATTGATCTGGATAGTTTGTGGTCATATCTTCCCTTGTTAGGATCAGTTGTACATCATAAATGACTAGTACTGTTGTTCGAAAACTTAAAAAGAGAACTATAATGAATCATATCTGTAAGGTTATAATCCTAGTTTGTAATTTTTACTTGACACGGTCAATCTTGTTTTAATTCAAAGTTCATTTGTTGAATAGTTAAGATTATCATTATTATTATTAATCTTATAATAGTTGAGCAAGATTCTGTCAGCAGACTGTTTGCTCTAAAAGTAGAGGATATCAAGGGTAAGTTGTATAATGTGTGTATGTGTGTCTGGGTACGCATGTATCCTATTATCTCTATACAAAATATTCCTGATTCTGTATTGCCTCGCACGTCATATGATATATATGTATGCACACGCTATACGCTGTATATGTTGAATAAATAACCTATGCATGGTGGTCACTATTAAAGCCTAATCTTTTTCTTTACCACTATACCCTCTACTTCACATATATGTACGTATACACAGAATAACAGATACCGACAAGATGAATAATTGAATAGCAATAATTTTATTGGCACTCCTTCTGGTACTTCTTTGAAACATAATTTATAAATGGAAGAACACCTATCGAACGAATATTATGGACTTTACACAAGCAAATAAACTAAATTTTCTCAATTATACGCAAAAGTTTTTCAGTGTAAATACATGAAACAATTTTCTTCAATGAAATTTATTCTCTTGAAGTGTATATGAATTCAAGTAGTCACAAAGGAAAGAGAATGATGATAGAGATTACTTAATACATTTGAATACTGGATAAAAACTTCTTTCACCATATACATTACTAGTTTATCCATATGATAAGTATTTTATGCACAATTTGTAGAAACTTTACTATGACAAAACACTGGAAGTCTTTGAAAGCTATGTGGAAAGAAACCTGCACAACAGTATTAGGAAGGAAGAAGAAAGAAGACAAGGAATGGATCTCGACGGATACCTGGAAGCTGATAGAGGAGAGGAGGATGGTGAAGCAGAAGATAAACCAGTGCAAGGATGCTCAACGACAAGAGGAACTGAGCACAATGTATAAAACACTGGAT